AACGCGCCTCGGCCATTTAATAACCTCAGAAAAGAAATGTAATGAATCGAGGTCCGGTTAACTTGGTGGCCAACAAATCTTTACACTAGTACACCATTATCAAAATGCTTTGAATTATTATACATTTTTATCTCCAGAGACCAGCACCTCTTGAGTTTTCATTAAAAAAACTTGGCGATTATAAATAATATAGAAGAACGTATTAAACTTTTCAATGTGTTTCGTTGAAGTCTCAATTGAATGTACTGGGTTGGTTTGTCACGCCATAAATGTGATATACTCAGATTTAAAACTGCTGATATCTAGGGTTTAATCCTTCGGAATCGTACCGGTTCGCCAAGGTTAAACTCAGTTTCTAAACTTCATGTGATTCAATGTTCCATATAAACAAAAGCCCTACACGTGCCAAATTTCTGGATACTTCGGTGTATGTCCTGAAGGGAATTCTTTCCTTGAAAAAAAATCATTAAACGCACTGAAATTTCTTGTAATTTTGAACCTGTATTTTAGTCATGAATTTTGACGGCACGAGGCCCTGAAGGCGTCAGTGAATTTGCGTGCAATCTCGAGTAAGAAACTGTTAAAGTGTTCTTCTCGGAAAACGTAAATAATAACTGATTATCGGTGCCATCCGAGTAATGAACACAATTCGAGAGAACACTTGGGTACATTAACCACGTAAAACATCGATCGCGAGTTACCTACATGCAGCCCCCACCGAATGCTGTATGATGGGGGCTAAATGTTTATTTATATATATTCGTGGTTTTAATAAATTCCTGCAAGCGAATGTTGAGACAGAAACTTAAATAATCTATGGTATTTCTACTTTCAAGAACCTTCCTATTTGTCTCTCACAATCATCTCATTCACTGCAATTTTAGACAAGAATTTTAAGCATCTCAGATGGAGATAATCTTCATTTCTACAGGTTTCACACCTGATGGAGCATACAGTACAGCCTATCTTCCATAAAAGACAACGAGGGTTTCACGTAGACAAGTATCGAGTAACGCATGAGAGGCGAATGAAATTACAATACTCCTCCACAGTGTAATGCCGCAAACTTGCACTTATGATTTTTAAGAGAAAACATAAATTTCATTAATAATTGATCTAGAAGAGGATAACTTTCCGATATTTAATGGACATCTGACGAAAGATTGCATTTAGAATATTACATTTAAATTTATATTGAATATACACCTGAAGATGGTTCATTTAAAACCGAAACATGCCGTGAAAAAGATGATGCTCTAATTGTAAATCGAACATTTCGATAGAAAGAGCATCATTTTAATATATTTTAATATATTAAATGTTAATTGTAATAATAATATTTTAATATTTAATAAAATATTTTATTGTGATTAGACGGTTAAAATTAAACAATTATAATCATCACAATATGACGCAACATTATCATCTCATAAATTTCATTAAATAAATATAAAAAATTTCGTAAAGTTATCGGGTTTTGTTACAGATTTGTTGTCTCAGAATTTGAACACAACCGATTAAAACCAAACTGGTCTATTCACCAAGTAACAGAATAGTATTTAACGAAATTTGGAAGTAATTTCTCTCCGTACGTCTGCACTTACATTAAAACCGGAAGCTGTGTTTGCCATGGTAATAGAAATTATCGTTTGGACACCTTTAAGGATTGGAACACCATATTTTATCGAAAGCGATTTAATTAACGTGTTACAGGGTTTAATTCTTTGCATCGGCAGATTTCGACACACAAACCGCGTAGCGTTTCACCGCTCAAATGACACCGGACTCACGCCGGAAGTACGCACGCACCAGGAACAATTCCTACGCGTTGACACGACAACGCGCGTGGTGTCACCTCGGAGACAGGATATTATGATAGTGACATAGCAATTAGGTTCGTTCACTGCAAGCGATCTGTCGCCTTACCTTGCCGTGAAGACCGGACGCCGGCACGTACCCGCGGGTTGACGGACGCGCTGCACAAATCAAACCGATTCATCTGCGTAAGTAAAAGTTTGGGAACGCGACCTCACCGCGTTTTCATAATTTCTTCCTGAAGAGGCCTCCTCCTCCTCTTCCAGAGGGTCAGACGGCGGCCTCGCGAGTGGTCATGCCCTCACCGGGTCCCGAACCCTTAACAGACTTAAACGACCCTTGAAATTCTCGTTCCGGAGACCTGACTGACGTTTTCCTCTGTCCTCCCAGCCAAATATCGAGATATCTTAAATTCGGCCACGACCACTTCCAACATCCTTCCCAGAAATATTTTTTTGAGCGACGGGAACCAAGCTGTAGAGCGGAAATCATGAAGAAGTTGTGTCCGGTACCTGAGAGCGCCCAAAATATCGAGCGGGCGATCTTACATCCTGACTATCCCGTAGCTCAGGCGGTTAGTCCGTCCGTCGGCTTTTCACCGCGAGGGCCTTGGTTCGACACGTGGGTCTTTGTGGTGGATTTTCTCCTGTCAATACCATCCCACCACTCCATATTTACTCGCGTGTCGTCATATGGGGATTGGACAAAGCGTCCGCACTTCACTGAGACATAATCCCACAACATCGTAATAACAAAACAATTTGGGTCCGTTTCACGTCGAATGAATGGGAAATTTCGTAAAAAAAGGTTTCATGAATTGAACTAAGGGTTGGTAAGGGTTCGTGAAATGTTATTACGACAAACAATCCAGGGACCATATTTTATACAAAAAAAAAAACAGCTGTTGTTATTTAAATTTATTACGGACATGGAAAAGAATCCTAGCATTCCATAAAGACGGGAAATTTCTTCGCTAACTTACACTTAAATGCCCAAAGGTTGCACGCTCAAAAATCAATAACGCTTCATTCTGTATTTGTGTTTTGTACGATCCTCACAGTAAACAGCGTTAACAAGCTAATTTGTGTAACGGTAAAGTGTAGTGTTTTCTTTTCGGTACGGACTAAATCCTTAAGTTTAACTGCACGACGTGGCAACATTGCAACCTCGTAACTCGGAGCAGGAAACTATTCTCTTGCCTGAAATGGGTTCTCGGCTCGTTAGAGAAAGTCCGAAATGTTCGAAGTTGGCCATTGACTGGCGCGTAATTTGACAGCGCACGAGCGGAGTCGGAGAACGCCCATATAAGAACACGGAAGGTTAAGGCAGCGGTATTTCGTACGTAACCAGAAAAATATGTCGGTTAATACAGAAACAGAATTTGAGGTTCTCAAGGCTGTCTTCGTGGTTCTAAAGTCGTGTGACTGGTAGAAGTTTAACGACGCTTCGAGTTCATTTGCTGCCTCCGTCTTCAGGACGACAACGGAGTCCTGATGATGGAGGCAGCAATGTTTCGTCCTGATGCCTGGTGATCAACGCACACAACGACGTTTTGCCAGTTGGTGTGCAGAAATATAAAAGGAAATATTTTATTTAAAGAATTTGATTGAAGACAAAGCGTTGTTGACAACGCTCTGAAGTAAGGAGAACAAAACATGAAGGGAATTTAAGGAAAATAAATTTTTGAAAAATTTTGAAAATTTTCGAAAAATCAAAAAAATGCTGGAAATTGTCCAAAAATCGCACAAAACAACAAAATTTTGGAAAATTCCAGTTTTATTTTTTTTCAAAATTTTCAAAAAAAAAATTGGTTTTGTGCTAGTTTGTAAACTGGGGGTGATTACGATGGGCTGGTCACGCAGATAGGGCCTTGGTGGTGGAAAAGTTTGGAGAACAGCCAATTGGAAAACCAAGTAGTTGATGGGGAGACAGCATTGAGGCGAATCGTATACAGAACCTTTGGGGCTTCACCGCGGGAGGGGCTTGCG